TCAAAGTGAATCAATCAATCTTTTCCTTTTTTGTTTGTTAAGCCCCCCACTTTCCCCACCCAAAAAAAAGTTGTTTTTTTTTTTTTTCACAGGTGTGTGGGGGATGGCTTCCGCAGCGGGAATCCACAGTCAAACCCCCTGGACCCCCCCCCCCCCCCCCCCCCCCCCCCATATGCTGACATGGCAGTGGTTCCGCGGTCATGACCAGGGACTCTCACCGGTTATGTTCCCGTGGGGGGTCCGGTCAGGACCGGCCCATTTGCCGGTCGTGCCACAACTTAAGGTATGTAATCCAGTAACTTGCAATAAGTTACGATTGACAAAATGTTCCGATGGGGGTTGGCATCCCTGATGTCATGTCTCCCTCAACCACTCTCTTTCTTCCCCAAACCCTGCGCCGAGAATTGAAGGACTAACAGCACTTGCATGAGACAGATGTGTTGAATGCATCCACAAACCGCAATCTATTACGCATGCTCTTCATGGCCTATTTAATTTGGTGATCACGTGAAGCGAGGCATGCAACTGGTGCATTGCGTTATCTGGCTCGGGGGAAACATCGAGGAGGCACAGAAGTGCCGGATTGTCAGTCCACAGCACAAACAGCACTTGCATGAGAACAGACATGTAGAGTACATCCATAAACCACAATCTATTCTGCATGCTCTTCGCGGCCTATTTAATTTGGTGATCAGGCGAAACAGAGGCACACAAACCGTGGATTGTGTTATCTGGCCCGACGGGAACATCCAGGAGGCATGCAGTGTTCTCGCATGTGGGAGTTGGTCTCTAATCTGATTCTGTGTATTTGTGCTACATTCAGTATGCCTTTTCAGACTCTGGACAAAGAAGAAAGAAAAATCAGAAGGAAAAAAAAAAATTTGGAACACGGGAGAGTGGATGCACCGCTTGCGCCGACCAGTTAGCGCACGCCGGGGGCGCCGTACGGGCGCTTCAACGGAGAATTCAGATGCGATGGACTGATGATGCGCGCTGATCAGTTGACGCGCGATGAACGAGGGAGTGGGCTGACCATTGACGCACGATGCAGCTAGCATGACGTCGCGCGATGGCGCAAGGTTAAGGTGGAGGTATGTGCGCTTATGTTGAAGATTCTTTTGAGGGTCAGGTCGCGTTTTCCTACATGGGCAAAGACATCATTGCGTGAAACGACGAACGAGATAAGTAGGGAGGGACGTGAGACAGAGGGAGAGAGAGGGAGAGAGAGAGAGACGTAAAGAGAGAGAGAAAGGAAGAGAAAGGGAGAGAAAGGG